CATGTCCTGCATTAACCGTTTAAGTGCATTGATTGACTTTCTCAACTGTTGCATCTTGCCATCTTGGTTATGTTGAGTATCATCTAATCTGCTCTTTTATTCATCATGTTGCATCTTTTACTATGTTGAGTGTACTTTCATTGCTCTTCTACATTATTTGTTATATTGCATATCTATCATGTTGATTGTATATTGTGATATCTCGTTGTATTGGTCTGCTTTTGCATCTTTAATATGTCAAATAAGCTTTATGATCTTTCTACAACTTTCATAATCAAATCAACATATATTACCTACAAAACAATATTCCACAAACCTGACCACTAGGATAGTCCACCATTACTAGCTTGACTCTTAATGTTCATCTATTACTTAAGGGAGTTCCTCTCGATGACTATGCATTCCGAACTTGGAACCACCAAGAAGACTATGCATCCTAATCATATAGATAAAATGTCTTGGTCATTATATAAGTATTGCATCACTCATATGGTTCCCCTATATCATAGGTCTAATCACCCATGACTATCAGTTCCCGACCTTGTTCTTATCCGAGTATGCCTCCCCGAAAATTTATATGTTGTGACCCTAACATTCCATATACAAATTAAGGTGTTGTGGAAACCGTATAAGTCATGTAAACTAACACGACTCACGACTTTGTTAACACCCTGGATTTTTGAATTAATTACTTAATTGATTATTTGTGAATTATTGATGATTTTATGTGATGTGTAATGATATGTTGTGGGATAGTAAGTAAGATAGAGGTGATAATCAGAATTATTTGGATTAAATAAATATGGTTAGTTATGGTTAGATTGTGGTTAATTATGGTTAGATTGTAGTTAGTTGTGGATAAATTATGGTTAAGTTGTGGATAGATTATGGTTAGTTGTGGTTAGATTGTGGTTAGTTGGTTTATGAGTAATTATAATAATAAAATGGAAAATTAAGGTGTTAATTATAGTCGTTTATATTTAAATAATTTTAGTTATTTTATTTAGAATTATTTATTAAATAGAATAAATAGATTAAGTAGAATAATAAGATGAAAATGAGGATATGGGCATAGTGGTAAGTGTGTGTGGGTTAAGTGAGGGCATAAGAGGAAGATCATAAAAAGAGTCGAAGGAGTAAAATAAGAATAAGCCAAGAAAGGAGAATAGGTTTATTATGTACCATCGTGAAATTGAGAGAATGCAAAGAGAAGTTAGGGCTTGTAGAGAACCAAGGGAAGAACTTTGTAGAACGTGAAAGAAGAGAATCAAATCACTAGGAATCGAGGTAAGGGGTTTAATTGTTGTTTATTATGATTGATAGAGGTTTTAGGTGATGTGGGGATTTGCGTGTTGTATGTGATTGATGAAAAATATGATAAATTATATAATTGTGATGATGTTGGGTGAAATTGTGAATTGTTGACTTGAAAATGTTGCAATGATGTGTGTTCATAATAATGAGATTTTGGGGTTTGAATATAGTGTTTCATGAAATTTGGGGTTTTAGAATTGGGATGAAAGGGATTTTCGTACGGCTACTATTGATTTTTGTAAAACTGTTTCTATACAGGGTGCAATCGATTGACATATTGGTGCAATTGATTGCACAGTCAAAAATTTGTGAAAACTGGGTTCTGTACTAGTGCAATCGGTTGACATACTAGTGCAATCAATTGCACAGTGTTGAACAACATTTTTGTAAAACTTCAAAAATTCATAGCTTGACTTTCGTTTGAAGCATTAGAAAGCTGATGTGATGTACTTTAACTTAAAATTATTTTATGTACCATAATTCCAACTATTCGATGTGTTGACATATGTTTGGTGTGTGTCGAGTTCTGTTGTTTTGAGCAACGTTTGCAAATGCATTATACTTGTTTGATATACCATGATGCTCTGTTTTAGATGTTGAATATGATGTTAATTATGTCGTTCTATTGTGATGGTTTGTTAATGATGTTGTTGTGATGTAAATGATGTGATTCATGATGATGATTTCATGATGATTTATGTGATGATTATGTGGTGATTCATGATGATGATTTTGTGATAATCTATGTGATGATTATGTGATGATTCATGTGATGAGTTATGATGATTTATGTTATGATTATCTAAATGATGATGCACTTGACTAGCCATGGTCGCATTTATATGACGTTGTTGTGCATCATACATTCATAGCATTTTGGACGGTGGTCTGCTATTTTCGAAGGTGTTCTGTTTATAACGAGCCTTAATCCCATTTTGTAGATTGTATGTGTTTATGACGTGCTCCGGTTCTAAGAGGAAATCAATTCTATGGTGGGGGTCTTTGGAGGGTGATGACCAAGTGTTCATCAATGATTTGGTACCACATGCATTTGACTAGTTGTGGTCGCATTAACATTTTGTGACATTGTATGATTTTTATTGATGAGTTGTGCTATGTCGATAATTGTGAAGTATGTGATTACATGATGTTTTGAAGAATGGAAGATGTACATGATTTTATGATGTAAGTATGAGTATAAAGTATTGATGATTTTATATGTTATTATATAATGATGTTGTTGAACTACTGATCTTTTCCTTATGTCTGTTATAATAAATTGTGATTACTCACCTTTTCTATTTGAATGTTGCCTCCACGTGGGTAACACGCAGGTGACCAGGAGTAGTTTGTAGAATCTTAGAAGATAGCTTTGGGGTGATTTATTTATTTTAGTTATTTAGAAGGTGTCTTTCTCTGATATGTAACATCGAGTTGCGAACGCCTTATTTTGCGAATATGATATTTCTTTTATGTTATGTTGACATATTTCATGGGGATTTTAATTGTATTTGGTTTTAATAATTAATGGGACTAATGTCATGGATTTTTGAGAAGTTAATTATGTTATATGAGAATGAATTATGTTGTGATGTTTTTTTGTAATTATGTGATGGTTTATAAATCAATGTATTTTTTCAAGATGATGTAACCCGTGTTAGAGAGCATGATGATTTATTAAGATGTTTTCTATGACGTGTGACACCCTTGTTGGTAATTTATGTTGAATTAATATCAAATTATTCATGAATTATTCTTTGAGATTTAGAAAAGTGTTACAACTTTCGCACATATTCAAGTGTATCCCAACAATTTATATATTATGCCACACACCTATTTGTACCTTTCAAGTTAGCCCCTCTTCTAGGAGGTTCCCATGAAATCACCATTCCATGAATTAACTAACATACCATATTTTGTACCATTACACTAAGGTAATCAAGCTTAACTCAAGCCAACCATAGGTAACTACCACTCTAATAGAGATCTTTCGAATCATAAACCTCCTAGATATAGATTTTAACTATATATACCTTAAAATAAACTATAATCACACATGTTCTCCTTATGTTTATATTATCATACCACTTATATTAATTACTTGAATCAAGATATTATTCATATGATTTATTATGTTTTAATCTAGTTCCCAAATATATACTACTTGTTCATAACCATTACTTAATTATGTTAGACACTTAAAGAATCAAATCATAAACCATTTATCATATTCAACTCGTTATTCAAATTATATAGATTTGATATGAGTCATGAATTAAATTAGACAACTTTGATTCAAGTCATGATTCAAACCAGACGACTCTGATTCAAGTCATGATTTAAAACATAGATGAAGAATTGCATAAATTTCTCTTTGATTCGAATCAACTAAATTCTTGATTGAATCAAGTCATAAAAATCCCAATTTTCATAGTTTTATAGTAGAGGAAACCAACTCTTAACGCGAAATAACCTCACCTTCTAATAATTTACATTAAAGCATAATTAGGATACTAAAATACACTTAAAGTACTCTAATTTTCCAACTCATTAATCCATCAAAATCCTAAACTTATAACGCATTCACCACATTAATAGTTAAAGCTTTACACTCTCAAATGAAATATTACTCTTCTAATCAATTCAAGATCATAACCTAAGGGAATGACTTTGGAGGGCCACATCTATATTTTGGTATGAATTTGATATTTTACAAAAGTTAAAAAATGATGATATATACTAATGTTATCATGTTGTTTTTAATTTTTTTTTTAAAATATCAATGTATCAAAATATAAACATAAACCTCCAAAACCTTCCCCTCCATAAACCAACTTGCAAGTACACCCTTAAAGAACAAGGTAATGATCTCCCATGTCTTGCAACCCAAACTCAAGCTCCACGTGATTTCCCTTAATTTTTTCCATTTTGAGTAGATTAGGGATTCTTCAAGATGGTGATGAATGTCCCCCTCTCCTTATTCCAAAATCAAATTTTTCTTTGTTAAGAGTCTTTTAATTATTTCTCCTAAAACCAGATGATTCATCCATACAAGCTTTCTTTGTCGGTAATGATGATTATGGAGGGATAGAGGTGATCACAAAAATGATGGACTTGCAATCCCTTTATGAACTCCTTATTTTCTCTTTCTAGTAAGAAAGAGGATGAACCAAATGAGACATTGGTGTTTTTAAGCCAAAATCACATTAATATATTACCCAACTCCAATTACCAATTAGCCCTTCACTAAAAACATACATTTTCACAAGAACCCTTGCATCACTAGTTAACTCCTAATTGGCCCTTTGGTCTTAATTAACTGGACCAATGGCTTAAGCATTCTATCAACCATATTAAATATTGACTTGACTTAATATACCATGTGAGATTATTGAGAATTTACTAAAATCCCCTTTATAGTAAAATGCTATTTCACCTTTTATCCTCTTGATTCCATTAACTTATGAATGAGACGATTCTTAATTTAAAGAGAAAAAACTACCATTGACTTTAATATCTTATTATCAACTTGAACATTCATCAAGGGATCAAAAGAGCCACGTCTCATACATACAAATTTATTAGCGCAAACAAGAAATGTCTTTAGATTCAAAGTGATTATTGCAGCTTAATATATAAGCAATAAATTATTGATGTTGCAAGGCCAATAAATGAAACAAGACATATCACTTTCCTGACAGTGATGATCCAACCCTATCATTGATTACTCCTCCACCTGGTACTAAAGGAACCTCATTTTTCCCAACATTTTCATACAACTCGTTTACCCACCTCCAAATTGCTGGATCTTCCTGAATACATCAAAACAATGTCAGACTCTTAACATATTTTGTAGGGTCTTATAATATCAAAACATATCATGTCATATATATATATATATATATATATATATATATATATATATATATATATATATATATATATATATATATATATATATATATATATATATATATATATATATATATATATATATATATATATATATTAGATACATTAATTATTCCATTAATCTAAAAAGTTAAAATATACTTATAAAAGAGAATGGAGGGAGTAGAGTAATATGTATCAAACATAGTTTAGATAACCACTTCCGATTCACATAGTAACCAAACCTTATTTTCAACAAGAATTAAACTCGGATAGTAACTAAACGATTAGTACTTAGTGGAAGTTTCTTTCCCATTACAGCCCAAATACTTAATATTTTGTTATATCACAAGAAATACTTACACGAAGGTGATTAATGAAAGTGGTATTTCTGAGCATGTTTGGAAGACATCTTGTTAGTGCAATACCAGCCCTGCTTTAATAGGAAATAAGTTTTATCAGAAACTTTAAAAGAAATAAAAATGATATAATTCCCCTCGTCTTAATTATAAGAAAATATTTATTCCATAGTCATAACATTTAAGAAAATGACTTTTTTTCTACCAACCTATGATTGTTAGACAAACGAGAATAGCACTGAATTACAAGCTTCAAAAGACGAAGTGAAGGTTGTATTTGAAGAGTTTCCAACATCATGTCCAAAACTCGAGTTACTGCAAAAAAGCGTTCTACTGTGGCACAAACATAAGCCAAACCCTCTTCATCTGCTAGAATTTTTTCAATTATAAATGTTGCAATCTGCATAGGTATAAAATTTTTATCAGAAGATAAGTAACAAAAAAAATTGGAACCAAGTCCAATTCATATCAACAAAAAAAATCTTTGTAAAAATAAATTGGCTAGCAAAACAAAAATATAAAAACTTACGGTTTTTGATATTTCTTTGCCGATTTCCATATTGCTCAAGCACAATGGAATTATCTCACTTGAAAGAAGAAAACTTATTACTTCTTTGGTGTTAACCTGTGAAAATGAAATATAATTTTTTTTAATGTTTTAGTTATGTTTGTGGGTAAGATTATTTCAAATATTATTTTCTTACTTTTTTATTTTAAAAATTAAATAGTGGATTAACCTTTGAAGAAATTTAGTTTTAATAGAAGATAAAGCATAATTAATGGTATGTATGTTTTTTCAACCATATTAATGTATAAATATTTTTATTGTACATACTATATAGTTTTTTCTTTAAGAGTCTTTGAAAAATAATCTCCGAATTTGTAACACCCTCATTTTTCTAATCTTGTTCTAAGTCCTTAATGAATGACAGTCATTAGAATAATTAAGATTAGAAAACCCTAATTATATTTCTATTAGCAAGAAAGGGTATTAATTAATAAAATGAGATAAGTACTTAGGGCAATTTAGACATTTCTCATGAGCATTATCTAAGTTCATTGTGAGAGATTTTGTTCATTATATAACTTTCATTCTCACTCTAAGAAATCCAGAAATTGAAGGAGAAAGAAGTGTAGAAAAAAGGGTGGACAATTGAGAAGAAGAAGGAGAAAGTTTTGCGTTCTTCCACCAATTTCTATTGCATGTGCCTCTTTGATTAATTTCTTGAAGAAGAAGCATTAAAGAAATCTAGGAGCGTTATCATAATCTAACTTCAAATCTCAAAATCAAGTTTTGAAATTCTAAGGTCATGTCAAGCCTTATACAGGCCACACTATAGGTCTCTGTAGGCTGGCTTGGCCTATTCCCATCTCTAGTGGCCATCCACACCGTACATATATGAGATTTCGAGAACCATCTTAATTTAAAAGAATCACTGCTTACACCTAACAGTACGTCCTATCAACATTATACTAACACCCGTTAACTAGAGTATAACATCACTGGATCGTTAACAAATTGGAAGACTCTCATGAACCAAATCTAGTATGATATAATACTTTATCCTACTAGTACAAGGTAAGACCTATTTCTAATATCCGACTATACATGGTAAACACTAGTAGGTTTGATCACCCCAACCCCTCACATAATTTACTCTGAGGGATCCTAGCCCATCCATTAGGCTAGTCTCGATCGGATTAACTTAACCCGACTACAACTCATATGTGAGGTCCTAGCATCTCCTACCGGGTCATACCTCTCAATCATGAATTTCGAGACGACATCACCATTTTTATCTGTACTTAGCTAGCACGACCTTGCCTCCATAATTGGGACTAGAATACTCATATGGTAAACATATGATTTAGAAAATGATAGGTCAACGAACTCGCCTAGTATCTAACTCTAAGATCGCAATAGGCACCCTTTTTTCAAAGCATACAATGTAATATTTTTTTGCAACCAACGCCCAATCCCATACTTAAGGTTGACTCGAATTCTGACCATTTGCTGCTTAGTTGAACTTCTAGGAATACTAGGCTCACTAAGACCCTGGAAATTCTTGCTTGATCTTACATACTTACCCTCTCGATTGGAATAAAATAGGTAACACATTTCTAATCCAAAAGAACAATTATAAACTAACCAAATATATAACATGTATTATTTATCACATCACTGTATCAGGTTACACTAGTGGAACTGGAAACTTTTGATAATCACTCGTAATGAGCAATGGAATCATTAAGGATGTAATATGTGAAAGTCAATAGAGGGGTTGATGTAAAAATGAAGAAAGTATCTCTTAGGTTAATCAATTAGGATAAGTTAATGAGAAATCTTAGTGACTTACATGACTATGCTTTCTTAATGGAAATTACTGTTAAATTGTAATTTGATTGTGTTGAAATAGTGTGTGTCTCAAAGGGAGGTTGTCCAATCAAAGAGCTTGTGGATCGAAGCAAGCTACACACAGATTTGATTAGTTTTAGATTTAGATAAATTTGATTGAGATCTAAAATAGATAGATTTGATTTAGTACCAAAATAGGTATTTTGGGCTTTTATAGTTTTGGTCTTTGGCTTAGGGAGCAAGCTAACATAAATCTATAAATAGAGGGAGTAACCCCTAATTTTATAATTAAGTCAATTCATTGTAATTACAGAATTTACAGTTGCAAGTGATTAATAAAGTTTTCCACAGTTTGTGAGTAGAGAGAAACTCTGCAAAAAATAATTGTCTTCTTTCTTTTCTCATAATTCATTGTCATTGTGTGGTGATATCAATCTTGTTCATAAAGATTGGTAGAAATTCATCATAGATATTTGGTGGATTTCCAACATCTGATATCAAGAGCTCGGTTAATCGATTCAAAGGAGGTAGCGATCAAGAATGATTGAGGAAGAAGAAGAATTCACGATGGCGAGTTATGGGAATGCAAATTATCCATTAACTCTACCAATTCTGAAAGTAGACAACTATGAGAATTGTGCAAACAGATGAAAGTTTTGTTCAAGTGTCAAGGTCTTTGGGATCTTGTAAAGGATAGATTGGAAGTGCTTGGAGAAAACGCTTCAGAAGAAGAAAAGAAGAAACACACAGAATCTGAGAAGCTGAGTTATAAAGCACTCTTTATAATTCATCAATATTTGAGTCCAGAAAATTTTGAAAAAGTGAGTGATTCAGAATCTACAAAAGAAGCTTGGGAGGTTCTTGAGAAGTCTTTTGGTGCTGCAGAAAAGGTGAAATAAGTGAGGTTACAAACTCACAAGAGAATGTATGAATTGCTTCAGATGGAAGATAGTGAGAGCATATATGATTTCTTCAATAGGGTTAAAAAACTAGTGAATCAAATCAAAGTATGTGGAAAAACATTAACAACAAGATCTGTTAGAGATCTTTGGCTCCTAAGTTCGACCACGTGGTGGTGACTATAGAAGAGGGAAAAGACTTGTCGAAATTGACAAATGAAGAGCTTCAAGGGAAACTTGAATCTCATGAACAAAGAATGACTAAAAGAGCTGCAGGCAAGTCGAAGAGTGATGTGACTTTGCAGGCACATTCAGTAAAAGAAACCAAAGGCAAAGGAAAGTGATTCAACAGAGGTAGAGGCGGTTATAATAAATCAACTGATAGAGGAAACCAGAACGAAGGAAACGTGTCGAATTAGATAAGACCATACCAAGGCAACCAAAAAGGTGGTGTTGCAAATAGAGGAAGAGGTGGTGGTCAAAAACCTGACAAGAATCACATTCAATGTTACAATTGTCAGAAGTATGGTCACTATTCGAGTGATTGTCCAGAAAAGCGAAAGAATCAAGAAAGTGATGAAAAGTTTGCAAAACACGAAGAAGAAGAGATGATGCTAACGGTCATAACACGAGATGAAGATAGATTCAAGGACAAATGGTACTTGGATTCAGGATACTTATCACATATGTCTGGAAGCAAAGACTAGTTTGTCAACATAAAGCCCTCAATGAAAAATATGGTAAAATTCGTAAATGACAATACCCTAGCAGCTGATGGTATTGGTGATGTTATGATTATGATGAAAGATGGCAAGAGTTCAGTAATTTCCAATATGTTCTACATACCAGGCATGAAGAGCAATTTGCTCAATATAAGACAGGTAGTCGAAATGAATTATAAAGTGTCGATCGAAGATAAGATGATGAGAGTCATCGACGCAAATGGAAGATTAATCTTGAAGTCTCTTATGTCTTAGAATAGAACCTTCAAGGTTGAACTAAATGTGAGGGAGCACAAGTGCCTCTCGACTCCAGCTAGCGGAGATGAATGGATATGGCATTATCGACTAGGCCATCTCAATTTCAGAGACATCAGAGATTTGAAGAGAAGAAATATGGTTTCAGAATTTCCAGAAATCGACATTCCAAACGAGGTATGTGAGGAATGTGTGCAGGTAAAGCAACATAAGAATAGCTTCAACAAGGATGCAGGAAGCAGACCAAAGGTTATTCTTGAAGTCATATACTCTGATGTATGTGGACCAATCCAGGTGGATTCGATGAGAGGTAACAAATACTTTGTTACATTCATAGATGATTTCAGTCGAAAGCTATGGACTTACCTGATCAAGAAGAAAATTGAAGTGATCGAGGTATTTTCCAAGTTTAAGTCTATGGTCGAAAGACAAAGTGGTCGAAAACTCAAAGATTTGAGAACTGATGGTGGTAGAGAGTATGTGTCGAAAGACTTCGACAGGTTATGTGAAAATGAAGGGGTTGTGCATGAGGTGGTTCCATCATATACTCCACAACATAATGGAACTGCAGAAAGGAAGAATTGAACCATCATGAATATGGTGAGAAGTATGTTGAAAGGCAAGAATTTACCTAAAGAGTTTTAGGGTGAAATTGTGTCGACTGCAACATACATTTTGAACAGATGTCCTACGAAGAAGCTAGAAGGAATTACTCCAGAAGATTGTTGGTCTGGTGTGAAGCCTAGCTTGAGTCATCTGAAGGTATTTGGATCTATTGCACATAGACATGTGCCAGATCAGTTTGAGAAGAAAACTTGATGATAAGTCGAGTCAAATGATTCTAGTTGGATATCATTCGACAGGAGGTTACAAGTTGTTCGACCCAATGAACAAGCAGATTGTGATCAGCATGGACGTGATCATAGACGAGCTTAAAGAATGGGATTGGATTGAAAAAGTCAAGAAAGATTCAGTGGGAATCCTACTTGAAGGACCAGAAACCCAAGTCGAAAGAGAAGTTTGACAAGAGGAACCAACAGTTATAGATCAACCAAGTACAAACAGACCTCAAAGAACAAGATGCATGCCTGCAAGATTGCAATATTGTGTAATTAAATCAGATGATGTGATAGATAATGAAGGTGAGTTGGTACATTATGCTTTCTATTCAGACGTCGAACCTGTCAATGCAGCTGAAGCATTGAAGGATTCAAAGTGGGTGAAAGCAATAAACGAGGAAGTGAAGTCTATCGAAGACAACAACACCTGGTCACTTGTAAAATTTCCTCAAGGCAAGAAGATAATTAATGTCAAGTGGGTATACAAAGTGAAAATGAATTCCAAAGAGGAAGTAACTCGACACAAAGAAAGGCTTATGGCGAAAGGATTTCTGAAAGAAGGAATAGACTTTGATGAAGTATTTTCACCTGTTGCTAGGATCGAAACAATCAGGTTGGTTGTTATTCTAGCAGAAATAAACAGATGGCACATATGTTAGATGGACGTGAAGTGTGCATTCCTGAATAGACCCTTAGACAAATAAGTTTATGTTAAACAATCAGTTGGGTTTGTGAAACATGACGAAGAGAGAAAGGTCTACAGGCTGCATAAAGCCCTATATGGATTGAAACAAGCTCCAAGAGCTTGGAATAAGAAAATTGATAGTTTCCTAAGGGAAAAGGAATTTGTGAAGTGTACAACTAAACATGGAGTATATGTAAGAAGAAGTAATAGTGAATTTCTTATACCATGTCTCTATGTTGATGATTTGTTGATAACAGGTAGCTGCAAAAGTGAGATCGAAGACTTCAAAGGTGGTCTCAACAAGGAATTCAAAATGTCTGATCTGGGTGAGATTTCATATTTCCTTAGCATCGAATTTTACAAGAGCAGTAGAGGTTTGATGATGCATCAAAGAAGATGTGTAGGAGAAATTCTTAAGAGATTTGAGATGGAAGAATGCAAATCAACTTCGACATCTGCAGAACCAAGACTGCAACTGTCGAAAGATGCAGATGAAGATGATGTTGCCCAACCCAATATAGAAGAATTATTGGGTCATTGAGATACCTTTGTCATACAAGGTCTGACTTAGCATATAGTGTAGGTATGGTAAGTAGATTCATGCAGAAGCAAAAGGTATCACATCTAGCAGCGGTGAAGAGGATACTAAGGTATCTCAAAGGAACTCTCGACTAAGGCATTTTGTTTCCTGCAACTGATAAAGGAAAATAATGCAAGTTAGTGGGATACACTGATTCGAGTTGGTGTAGTGATGCTGAATCGAAAATCAACAGCAGGATATGTGTTTGTGTTAGGTGGTGCACCGGTTGCTTAGAGTTCAAGAAAGGAACCAGTAGTAGCATATCATCATGCGAAGCAGAATACATAAATGGTTCTCTTTATGCATGTCAAGCAACTTGGATGGTGAACTTGGTCGAAGAGATAACATGGAAAGATCATGGAGCAATTACCATGAAGATTGACAGCATGTCGGCTATCAATCTGGCAAAGAATCTGATAGCACATGGTCGAAGAAAGCACATCGAAATGAGGTTCCACTATCTTCGAGAGCATGTAGAAGATGGGAAGATGAATTTGGAACACTGCATAATTGAGAATTAGATTACAGACATCATGACGAAGGGAGTGCAGGTCGAAGTATTCAGAAGACTAAGAACCATGATGAATATAGATAGTTTAGACACAGTGAATTAGCTAGTGTGTTAAATTGTAATTTAATTATATTGAAACAATGTGTGTGTCAAAGGGAGTTTGCCCAGTTGAAGAGCTTGTGGATCAAAGCAAGCTACACACAAATTTGATTGGTTTTAGATTTAGATAAATTTGATTTAGATATAAAATAGATAGATTTAATTTAGTACCAAAATAGGTATTTTGGGCTTTTATAGTTTTGGGCTTTGGCTTAGGGAGCAAGCTAACATAAATCTATAAATAGAGGGAGTAACCTCTAATTTGTAATTAAGTTAATTCATTGTAATCACAGAATTTGCAGTTGCAAGTGATTAATAAAGTTTTCCACAGTTTGTGGGCAGAGGGAAACTCTGCAGAAAATAATTGTCTTCTTTCTTTTCTTTTCTCATAATTCATTGTCATTGTGTGGTGATATCAATCTTGTTCATCAAGATTAGTAGAAATTCATCATAGACATTTGGTGGATTTCCAACAATTACTTGGTAAGTGAGGCAACCATAGGATTGAGTTAGTATCTGACAATGAGAAATTAACGGAAGTGTAATAATACTCCAATTCTTGGTAAATACCAATATTATGATTCTGAAAATAGGGTCGAATAGGTGGAAGTCTTGATTCCTAAAGCTAGCCTAATTTGTAGTTTAAAATGTAGTAGAGTAAGACTCGATAAAAGTAAGGTAGGTAAACTATGTACACAACCTTAATAGGCATGATCCAAAGAGAAGAGGGTGGGTAATTCCAGAAACCATCTTAATGGGCATGATCTCAAGCGAAGGGGGGAGGAGGGGGGAGGGGTAGAAACATCCGTAAAATCTTATCTTAGTAGGAAGTGGATTGTCATTTGTCAAGGATGGTCGAAACACTAGCTGTGCTAGAGGTTTGTCAGAGACTTCGACATAAGAATTTGTAGCTAGAGGTTTGTCAATAACTTCGACATAAGAATTTGTAGCTTCTATTGTTCTACACGACTCGTATAATTAGGATATCATCTTCCACGAGATGTATGAAGATGAAATTGGCTTCAGTTTTACGAAGGGTACACACGTATAATATTAGTAAAATGAAATAGGAATAAAAAACCCTTTAGACCTGAGTGAACTCATGGTGTAGTATAAAACTACACTTAGATGTAGCATCTCACCCAATTCATGTTGTTTATTTCAGGTAGTTCAAAGAAGGATAAAGGTCAGACCAAGATGACTTGAAGACTCCAACATTTTCTATTTGGGTTTTGTTGTGATCTTATGTATTATTTTAAATAAAAATATATTGTATTCCATGTATTATGTTTATATTTTAATTGTATCGTACATGATTTTGAATTGTCAGTTAGACACTTATGTATGCACACAATAACACTTATTAATGCTTCACGTAATACAATTATAGAAATGTATTATGTTAGGAGTATTACAAAATTATTATATCATAATTACTTTTTATAATGCCATAAGTTGTTTTCAGGATTATCAACTGACTCCACAAACCAATACGTATATTTTCAGCATGCTTTGTCCTCACTCACACGCTTTCTGGAAAACTTTCCAGAAGGTCACCATCCAAATACTATTCCAAGTCAAGTACACTTAAATATAGAGTACTTATTTGTTAGGCTACCGAAAAAAGATGCATCTTATTGGTATATATAGTACCAATAAATCCTTATAAGTTTTCCTTCAACCATGCAGTCTCATACATGCACAGTCTCAGGATCCCTCTCATTCCAATATGAATTCAATTTTTGCCTAGAAGTTGAAAATAGTCGTTCATTGTCATGCCTTGTACACCGTCGACCACTCCCCTCCCTCGTTGGCCTCATGTGTTACACTTCCATTTTAATTTATAATAAACTAGAACAAGATTAATTAGGATGTAATACCTTCACCAATGCACCAATGACTCCAAGACTAGCAAGCCTCAAGTGCTCAAATTGTGGTACATTGTTTCTTGTTTTAAGGAAAGGGTACAAATACAACGGTATGTTAGCTGTGAAAAAAAAGGTAAGTGTAAGTACAACTTCGGAATTCTATTACTAACAAATTTAGTTATGTGAACTTGTTAACCAAGTATAAGAGTAAATATAAATTAAAACTAATGAAAATAAATAAGAAACTTGATATTACCATCGATGAACAACATTTTTGTATCAGAATGAGATGCCACACCCTATAATAGACATATTTAGAGAAAAAATCAGTTAGATTTCATATACACTAGATGAGAAAAAGAAAACTAACCGTATAATATTTGCAGATTGTCACATTTATAAAATGAGTGATTTTTTTTTTGTATTTTATAAGTATAATGAAAGTGGTTATATGGAAAACACAAGATTTAAAAGTTGTCATTATAAGCTTATCTCACCTGAAGTAGTGCAAGAATATTGCACACTCGAGTTGATTGTGCAGAACTGAGATTTGGTGGTGAAAGATTAGGATATATTGAAACTATTTCCTATAAAAAAAAGATATCACCATCAGTAAGTACAGAGCAACCAATAAATGAATTTTTTAAACTCTATCTCTTATATTTACAAAATTAAACTACCATTTCAAACAACTTATAAGTTAAATCATACTATCACAATTTAATTTAAAGTTTCCCTTATAATCATATCTTGTTTTGTTTGAACTATAAAAATAAAATATTGTCTTTTACATTGAAAAGTAGAAGTTAGAAATTTATAAATATGAATGAGAGAAAGATTAATATAGAAAAAAATAAGAAAAGCAACAGAGAGTGAGATAAACTAATAACCAGGAAAAAGAAAAGAAAGTGATACTTGTTACAAAAGAGTGTAACACGACAAAGGACAATAATTTGTATTTTCATCCACTATCGATTTGTTTTCTGCCAAATGTGGAATAACCACTTTTAAATATACAATAGTAGTAAAACCCATATACAAGGTTATAAAAAATATTACAAATAAATGAAAAAGTTTCTTAAAAGTAAGAAAGACAAAAATACAACTAACAAATAATATATAATGTTAGATACATATAACATACCTGTAAAAGTAGCACAATGGTACCAAAAGAATTCCACAATAAAGGTGCAAGTTCCTTGAATAAGTCAGTCCTCTGAAATATTAAAAATAATAAAATACAAAATCTTATGTTAATCAAATTAGTACAACAAACATTACAGAGTATAAATTGAATTGTGAAATAAAAATATTAAAATAGAATAACCTTATGTGATACTCATATGAGGTTACCTGGAACTAATACTAATTTTCTCATAAATAAATTTGATGTTGCCAACATCGTTATAGTCAATGATTTTGTTTGTAAAATAAGATTAATTAATTTAGATATCGAGTAACCCCTAAAAGTTCATTCTACACTACTTGATTCTTAACACCCTCCCTCAAGTATGAGTCTACAATACTCCCCCTAAAGTAGAAGTTCTCTCTTCCACAAACACTTGTACCTCCGTTAACACTCTTTAACAGGACACCTCCTATCCATCATCTGTAGGGAGTACTTTTGATACAAGTAAGTTGGTCTCTTCACTCGAAACCAAAGACTCATAATACCACTGTTGGAGATGATTTGGAGGGTCAACGAGGGAGCATATTTACTTGGAGACTTTTTTTCGATTTGAGCAACATACATTTATGGGAGACACACCACTTGTTCACCTAAAACCTTAAGGTAATAGGCGTGTGAGTTCTCTCACTTATAAAATGTCCAATCTTCCCTTTTCTAATCAATGTGGGACTTCTTCCTCAATCTTGATTCTCAATATTGGGAGTGTGTTCCTCTCAAGATCTTTGATTCGAATCTCACTATATGGTAATAATTTTTTATTGGGCCAAATCCGTTGCGCCAAGTCCATACAAAACATTGCTTTGTCTTTAAATAGGCTCCTACAAGAAGACAGTGAAATTGGTCTCCTTGAATTAGTCGATCGTAAGGATGAATATCAAACTTTCAAAAAAATGAAATATCGAGTCCATTTGGTCAAAATCACAACATGAATGACTTGGCTTCTATCCAACTTATGATATTAGTTAATTGTAGTAAAACAAGTCCACTTTTATGTCAAATTTTGTCTCTCTCATATTGTATCACCTTTAATGATTATATGTTTTCTCTCTTTTATTTTCATTATATTAAATATCAAACCTCAATTCTTCTGATCAAATTCAACATCAATCACCACTGGATCAACTAATAGTTGATTCAAATGTCTCTCATTGTTACACCAATTTTCTTCCTCTTAGAGTCATGGAATGGGACATAAACATTGTTTGTGAAATACAAGTGATACAATAATTATCAAATATTCTAAACTTCATATGATAACTAGTGTAAGTCATAACTTATAACAAGATGTTTTTCCCATCTAATTAACAAAAGCTATCAAATTTTCTAAAATTCATATACTAGCTTATGCAAATTCATAACGTGTAAGGATATATTATTCCATCTAATTAACACTAATTTACCTACATTAAAACTGAAACAAAGTTTCAAATTATATAGAAATAATATCTATATTTTAAAAAAAGTACTAATAATTTTAATTCATGATACACAATACAATAAAGCTCATGACTCAAATATTACTAGAATCTCATCTTGAATATCCCAAAATACAAAAAAAACCTAAATATATGATTAGATCTAGTAAAAAGGAGTTAATATGACAATCCAAATCTACATTGATGGAGGAAACACATTTAATTTCATGCTAAACCAATCCTAAAAAAATTGGATTGCTTGTGAATTTAAAGGAGAAGATTAAAAAAAAAGGGAAAAAAGATAAAGGATTATAGAACGGTAAGAACCTTGGAGAGCACACGAATAGCGTTATCTCGAAGATCAGAATTGTTGAGTTCACTAACAAGGCGTTCCATGTACGCCATCTTAGATGCAGTGGTTCCAGATTGGGTAGAAGCAATGAAGGGAGCCACATATGACACATCTTTGTTCATTGAGAGTGACCGAGAAGAAAATTTTTCCATCGATTGAATCAGATTGAAATGATGCAATAAGTAATCGATTTTATCACTTTAGTTTGTATTTTTCTATTAGTGCGTTGATATATATATATATATATATATATATATATATATATATATATATATATATATATATATATATATATATATATATATATATATATATATATATATATATATATATATATATATATATATATATATATATATATATATATATATATATATATATATATATATATATATATATATATATATATATATATATATATATATATATATATATATATATATATATATATATATATTTATTTTATTTGAAATTTGCAATATTTTATTGACTATTAATAATTATAATCATTTTATAACTCTATTGAAGTATTATTTTGATAATTTTATTTTTTATCCTTCCATTTTAAAAATCAATTTTTAGTTCTCTATTTTAATTTTTTTAGATTTTTTGTCGCTCACCCATTTGATGTCATTTTTAATGACATGATGAACTTGTTGACGATGTGACATGATCTACATGGTATTAAAATATATCCATATTTGTTAAAATTATTCTTTACTATCATTTTGATAGAACTTTGCGCTTGCGACTTATCAAGTTTTTTGGCGCCGTTGTCGGAGACTTTTTTAATATTGAGTCTTTTTAATTTCACGAATTAGACTAAGACACCCTTTATTTATTTTTGTCCAATCTTCTCGTTGTCGATAGAGTGTAAAGAACTTGAAGTCTTAGGAACCTTGCTAAATAGATAGACGAAATATAATACTATTTTTTTATGAAAAATGTAGACAATAACACATCACAAGTGTACCACACTATCGAAGTAGTAAAAAGGATGTTGAACCAATGTGACCAACTATTTAATTACCTAATTCCACTCTATCGTTGTGTAGCTAAAATGGTAAAAAAATTGGTTTAAATTTGAACAAATTAATTTTAACGAGAAAAAATTATAATAAAAACATGACCTAGTGTACACGATTCTTGTCTAAACATACTCAGATGAACCTCTAGTTCTATTACAAGAAACAAATCAATATAATATAAACTAGAGAAAATTGAACAACACCTACTTTCATTAGCGTGTTGTCATGTCTCAGATAACTAACCTGTCCACTTTCGTCAACCCAAAATGTTTGTAGATATTAATTTAGTGCAACTATAAAAATGGAGCTTTCTCAAGTGAGGTTGAGACACTTTCGTCATCTCGTACTCAATTGTCTAGAATTCCGTTGTCGGGTACCGAAACACACCCTTTCAGCGTATGATTGGTACCTGAAATACCTTTACTATTATAATCTAAATTTGCATTAAAAGCCCAGAATTATAAATTAATTGTTGATTTTGATTCTCATAATAAATGGTAGAGGGTTCACTCGAGGTCCATCATGAGAGAATCCTCATGAACCTTAGTCCTTAGAGAACTACTCACATATGCTTATCGATAAAGCGATTATAGCAATTACATACACGATAATAGGAAATAATAAAAACAATATTCGGATAAGAACCTGAATAATAAGAAAGGAATGGTTGAATAAGATAAAGCTCTAATGGAGTGCTTGATTATAATGCTTGATGAAAGAAAAAGTTGCAAGGAAAAAAACTAAGTAAAGTAAAACTAGGGCATAAAATGTATCTTTCTCCTATGCTTCATATGCCTTTTATAATCTTTCTATGATGAATACCAATATAATTTCACATAGTGATCAACCAAGAAATAATCCTACAGGCCTTGAGAAGGTTGGGAAGTGAAAAGGGCATAAAAGCGTTATGAAGTGGAAAAAGTATGTAATTGAAACTGAGGCCAACACATGTGGTGTTGATGGACATATGGGTAATGTTGTGCAATAATGCTCGTGTTGATTAAAACTGTTGGATGATGTTGTTGTCTGGAATTTGACATAAATAAATACGGACCAAACTCTCTCTCCTTAGATAAGATACTAGTTCAACTATGGCTTTGTACCAAAGTCTCTTCATTCGGTTTTATTTTACTTCATTCAAAAAAATCAAATTCAGCCAATAAGATAATGATAATCATCTCATACGCATGAGGTTAAATGAGTTTTTATTATTACTTTTTACTTATTGGCACATGAGCGAACTGGTGTTTTGGAAAAGAAACTTTTTGAGAGTAAGCATGACTTACACTACCTAGATGCTTTTTATTCACACATATAATTCCACACACATTTGTTTTATTGGCATTTGGGAACAACCATCGTTGGGTTAAATAATCAGGTGAGGATTACCCAACTTAGTAACATTTTTAATTTTTTTTCTTTGATTTTTTTGGTTTTATTTTTCCCCAATCAACGAAATATAATATGCGAATTAAAGGTATTCCACAGTTTTAAATAAAATACTTCTAAAAAATTCAGAGACTACCAAACAAAATGAGTTAAATTGACTTCCTATTATTGAAACTTCAGATGTTTATACAATACCTATTTTATCAAATTTTCTAAGGGTCCTTAATCTTAGCTTCTCATCCCTTAGATTTTATATACTTTCTCAGTTGAATGATGAATAAAAAGATATTCTTTTTAAAAATTCAAACAATTCTAATTCAGGGAGCCTTTAACAATTTACACACAACAAATAAAACAAAAAAGCAGAAAATAAAAAAAATAAAACTAAAGCAAATAAAAGGGAAATACCATACCCCTAAAATTAAACTGGAAATTGGCCTTAATATTTCTGAAAAAGCAAAGGAGCGTCAGAGAAAACTCACAGAAACCTCATAGAGGTGATGGAAATCGTAACAAGAGATACTACATCATCCTATTGACATTAGAGAGTATCTCCTTGTCTTAGCTACTCCTCAACTGCACCCCTTACCTCAGCCTGCAACCTTTCCCACAATTCCTGATCATAACTTGTATGTTCGGTTTCTTGAAATGTATGGGCGCAAAAACATCCTTCATCAGCAGGGGTGTCTCAGTTATACAACAAATTATTTTTATCATCTACCCTGACCTTTCTAGGGCTTGGCAAATAGAGCATTAGCTGGTCATGGACAGTCACAATGAATGTGTCCCCTGAATGACTTATCATTCCCATACTTATTAAGGACTCCATGTCTATTTTGGTTTTGCCTATTAGAGGAGTGACCACCTTCATTAAAGATAGGGCCTAGATGCTCAAAGATGGGGGAAGTTAACCCCCTATTAAAATGCCCCCTTTACTAGATATGGACACCTTTTTTAGGTGTTTTGCTAATAATACAACAACATGTACAAAATAACCTTTAACCATAGTGTTGAGAAAGTATAATGTGATACCCTAAACCCCAATTTTTTTTTTGTAGATATAAATTATGGAATAAATTATATAATAAATAATATACAAAACACAGGGTATCACACATTACTCATAACATACATTAGAAAAATCTCATACTCGGGTAACATGTTCAGGATTCACAATAAAACATTGAAAAGTAAAAACATAATATTCTTTTAAATTGCAACCCATCCTTGATGTCACTGTATCAGAACTTTATTTAGACTCAATCCCTAACTGACTAACATATGTCAACAACACAACACATATAAGACTGAGATGGCCTTCTACACCATCTTCACTGGATTGCCTCACGAAGCAACTACTCCTCAATCTCATCCCGAGGGTATCAGATTTAAAGGTATATCATACAAACAAGAATACAAAGAGGTGAGAATACATTTTACAAAATTAAACGGTATAAAAACAACAAGGTTATACAATGCATACATTCACAATCATCATAAAAATATGGTAAATACTATATTAATTAATACAATCACACATGAATGCATATGAATGTTATGCAATGCATGCTAACCTCTCCTTTGTATGCATATGGTACCAAACACTGAACTCATAGTATATTCATGGAAGTACACGTGAGCTACACTCTATACCATAATACTCTATCTAGGCTCAACAATCTAGGAGTACATGTGGGCTACATTCGTACCATGACACGCTCCTGAGTTTTACAATTTAGGAGCACACGTGAGCTACATCCATACTAAGACACTCTTCTAGATGTTCGTAGACCTGAAATTCCTAGGAGTACATGCGAGCTACCTACATACTATAACTTTCCCTTAAACTTAACCTACTTCCACACTAGTATGATGCATAAATAAACCATCAACAATAATCCTCCCAAACCTCCTTCCTCTATAAAACACATTCATTTTTACTATTGTATAAGGGCTTCATAATAATTTACTTGGAACACATTTCCATCATTGCCACATAAGGGCTTTATATTGATTCATCTCAATCATTCACACTTTACCACGGCCATACAAATATAATAGTTTCATTAACCTTTATCTCAATAATGTTCATCGCATTAACTTTCCAATGTAACTGACTGCACTTCAAATGGACTTATGAAATCCAACATAAGTGTCATACCCCAAATTTGTCCGCCCTTTATCACTACGATCGATATTAATTTCAAACTTGGATTTTTATAAAATTCTTTGGATTTACATTAATATTTTGGGGTTTTATAAATATTCGTTCTTAAGTCCAGTTAAAAATATAATAATTTATTTCAAATTATTTGTATTTTTAAATAGCAAATATCTGCACACCTTTCATATAATTTCAATTGGGTTTATTTACAAATTAGTAACACAATACAATTGGTAAAGAATGAAGCTTGAAAGTATGAGGTTGTGGGTTTGAACCTCTTTTGATACATTTTAAATATTTTTTTAAGTTTTTTTTATACTAATTTTCTTTCTTTTTTTGGAAATCAGGCTTTGGACTTCTCTTGATTTTTGGGCTGACTTACTTGCTAAATATTTTTAACCTAATTTCACTCTATAAATATGACTCATTGTTATCCTAATTTTTCATCAACAATTTCTCACAATCAGCATCAACAATTTCACCAATAAAGAAACCACACTTAGTTTTTTTCAAACTTCTATCTTTCTCAAAATTACTTTTTGGCCGATCATTTAATATGAGGCCCCTCTCC